GGTCCCATGACTGATTCCCATCCCAATTCCCGCTCATATATCCCTAGAGGATGCAAAAGGACGAGCTTTGCTGAAGCGAAGTACGCGTCGAGCCTGTACAATTGTGTTTTTGCGAATCGTACCTCGGTTTTTTTGGGTTCGGTTCATATTTTATGACTTATAAACTATTTTAAAAGAACAATTTGAAAGATTTAGAGACTCTTTACATGTTTTGCCCTTCTTTCTAGGCTAAATTATCTGATATCTTTCTCTCATGGAGCAGTGAGGTCCTGCGCCCACTAAAATAATTTTATTTTGCGTTGTAAAGGTGTATTATAGTATAAACTATAATAACGACCTTAATTAAAGTTATTTTTTACAAAATTAAAAGAAATTTCGGCACTTTTTGCGAAAGAAAATTAAATACTGCTATTTCAGTGATCGGCCAAAACGAGCTGCATATGTGAAAAAATATCAATAAAACATAAAAATAGAGCAAATCTAACGGAATTTTTTCTTGATTCTTATCTTTATGTTCCATTTTACAAAAACAATGTGCAATAGATCAGCTTGCAAAAAGGAATATGTACAAAAAAACGTTTTGAAGTTGTTCGTCTGTCGCACTGCTATTTCCGTGAACACAGCTGTATATATTTATATATATATGTATATATGTGGAGAATGCCCACCTACTTGGATGGGTTTATTGGAAACCGAAAGCCAGTCAACTGAGCCGATCTGTGTGGCTAATTGAGTTACCCAGAGAGTGAGGCTCAGATTTTTGGACCGTTTTGTGGCCGTGCGAATTATTAGTCAAAAAATGGTTAACGGTTAACTTTGTTACTGTGCTCCCGACGATAATGATGAGCCTGATCTCGATCTGGTTCTTGCTGGGTAATCGGATCCGGGTCTCGGCGAAGGATTGATTGATGGAAGACGATGCGTGGCGAATCGTTTGACTAATTGCCGCGTGTGGGCCAGGAACTTCCCTAAACAAACAAACGCGGGTGACCTTTAATAGAGTCCTTCTTTGGCGCCCGTCTCCCAGCCTTTCTCTTCCTTCCTCCGCCTAACAGTTAATCCCTATCCTTTCCTTTCTCCGCGGACCGCACACAAAGCCTTTTAATGGGCTGAGAAAAGGAAAAAAACAGAAGAAGGGGCGTGTTCGACGTGATTTGGTGTCGCTAATTACAGACTTTGGGCATTTTACGCTGTCCGTTTTATGACTTAATAATTGCATTCATTTGGCCTGGACCCTGGGCTTGGACTCGGCCAAAACCAAGCCGCTGCCCACACACACAGAGTACACGCGACTTGCACTTGGGAGAAAGGTGCCTGCCCAGACTGGGCATAAATCTTCTATTCCTGATTTACCTGGAGTTGCGCAACAATTAAAGGATCAGCGCAAAATGTTCACACAACAATATGCCAAAACAAACAAGCGGCGGAAACGGAAACTGCACTTGAAATAGGAAAAAAAAGATACAAAGTAAGAACTGCTTGCGGTTAGACCTCAAAAATTGATGGAAAAGTGCCCTAAAATGGCATGAGAAAATCCCATTGATTGGAAACAACAAAAAACCAAAAAAGGATGCCTTAAAAAAGGAAAATATATAAAAATAATTGGAAAATACAAACGCAATTAGACAATTTTCAGAGTTACAATAGGTTGCCAGAGAGCTACCTGTTGGCCTCTTAAAATTTAAAAAAATTAAAAGTAAACAAGTTATAAAATATCAAGAAAATCAAAAGGAAATCTAAATTTCTTAAAACCAAAAGAAATATAGTTTATAAGCATGGAAGGATATATTACTGATCCCTTAAACTTCAATTGGTACCGATTGTGCACCATTTATTAACCACCACAAATCAGCCTTAAAGACCGATTATTCAGGCGGCAACCAATGAACTTCGGAGCTTCAAAAGTCGGGATTTCGACAATAGCCGATCCTCTGATTCTGGCCCTTGGCGACACTAACAAGAAGTGACAAATTGATGGTGTTAAAGCTCATTAACTTACTTAACTCGCACTTGCAGATGGAGACGCTGCAGCTACAAATAAACCTCAAAAACCTCAAAATAAAGATCGCCAATTATCGACATGACAAATTTTCAGACATTTACTCGTGTGTATTCTTCCCCTTCTGAAAAAAAACTGAAATAAAAAATAAGGAACAGCAAAACCCACAAGGGCGACGCACCCCAAAAACCGGACATCGAATGCATAATAATACGTGTTAATAATGCTCAGGCAAGCTGTCTATAAATTGACAAAGACATGCAAGTGGCTGCTGCGACTGCTCCTGCTTCTGCTTCTGCTCCCGCTGGTCCTCCTGTTGCGATCTTTGTGTGCCCGCCGTGTCCGCTGGATGTAGCTCCTGCGGCTACACAGGGCTAAAATAACGATAACCTAACTGCAAATTTAAATAGTACAATTTGGTAAAGGCTACATAATAATTAATTAAGCGAGTTTTTTTATGATAAATTAAGTGTAACCAATTATGCGGTTTTATTAATATTCTCAACAATTTATTTCAATATTTAAATACACCTTCCACTCTCTCTGTGTACTCCGCTTTGCTGCCGCTGTGTCGGCGACCAAAAGTTAAAAGCCGAAAGCTGAAAATCTGAAAAGCAAAAGACGACTGGGGTCCACAGTTGCCCCATTCATGAGTTCTAACTAATTGTATTGGCAGGGGCAGTTGCATTTTGGAAGCCGAATCCCAATCCCAATCCGAATCTGTGCAGCTGCATGCAGGTGGCAGGCAGTAGCTCCTTAGGATGCCGGCAGGAAGAGCCTGGGACCCCGGTTCGGGATCTTTTGTTGTTGTTTTCGGGGGAGACGACGGCGGAGACCCAAACAATTTGTGTAATTGACAAATTGACGGCAGCGCTTTGTGCGGAAGCGTTCAAAGCCGTAAATTGTCGCTAACAAGAGCGACACTCTCTGCAAGGGACATCGGCAGGATATCGCGCGGGTATACAAATATATAATTGCCTGGATCGGAGTTCAGAAATCGAGGATCCGCCCGCATCTCGCACGACCACTAAATTAAGTCATTAACAATTTAACGAAGCCGCTGTCGATGCCGCGGTGCCGCGTAACTAATTATGTGAATTTCCTTTTGATTATAAGCTCCGAAATCCCAGTGAGCTTTAGCGGTGACGCCCGAAAATGGATTTTATAAAACAAACAGAGACGGCCCACGAAATCCGGTCGCTGCCACGCCCCTCATCCTGAGCCCCAGCCCCCATCCACCGCCTCCGATTCGCTCCAATTCCCATGCGGGAGTCAGTCGATCGTCAGCAGTCGCTGTCGCTATCAACAAATTGGTTTCGAATCTTCCGAATGATTGACTGACCGACGATGGACTGGGATCCAGCAACTGATCCGCTTTCTGCTGAATGAATTGGTGCACTGAGAAAAAGTATTTGAAATTATAAGTCAACAATTCAACTATCTGTGATGTTAATAAATATGACGAATAAACCCATACAAAATGTTGTATTTATTTTTCTTTCATTAAAATATATTTTGCCCCTTTTGTGATGAACAAACTCCAGTCGACCCTTTCTCCCTGTGTAAGCTTCAGCTTAAAGGTCTTAAGCCGCTAAGTTATCCACCAGCAACGATCGAGGATCGAACTTCGCCTTAAACGATTTGGTGAGTGGCGGCGCTTGATTTTCGGGACTTGGCCAGTCCGGGAGGACTTTAAAGTGAAAAGGACGGACATTGCATGCGATTCGGACTTGCGACTGGCGACCTGCGACTGTTGAAAGGAGATCGGCCCAACACTTAACTTAATTTGGCAGCTACACTCCGGCGCACCGTGCCGTGTAATTATTGGCACAATACTCGGCTCCGCTCCGCGTTCGGGGATCGCTCTCTGCTCGTATTTGTTTTCTGGCGGCCCTAATTTTGTCGAACTGTCTACAAATTGATCGCAAAGCGCCAAATCGATCACCTTCCCCCATATAATAATACTAAAGTTCGAATCGCTGGGCGCGAGACGCTAAACCCTCAAAAACTGTGTGAGAATTGATGCCCTCGTCCGATAGCAGTGTGTGTGGATGCTGAGGGGCAAAAGAAGTTAAAATCTTTGGATTTGAGAAGATTTGAGTGGCTTCAGTTAACTGGGCATATCTTGGGGAAATTTAATATAATTTTAGTGTTTTTTTGGGGATTTATTATTAGTATTTTAGAGTATAGAACTAGTTATAAGTTAGATAATAATACATATGGAATAATATACATATATAATGATTTCTATTTGTTCAAGTATAACAGGGATGTATAGAAGGAAACACTTTAATTATTACAAAAACCAGCAATTTCAAAGGTAAAAATTATATATATAATTTAATTTGCGACCGGATTTATATATGGATTTGCATATTGCAGTTCCTTTTAATGCTTATTCCTAGAATTTTATAATTTATATGATTTATAAGGCGGAAATGACACCTTTACTGCTTTACTAGCTTCCAGCTGAAATTATAATAACCTCAAAGGGTATAACAATTAAAATATATATGCAGAATTTTATACCATAACTTGTGTTAAAATTTAAACTTAAATGACCATAACTAAGCCAAAAATTCATTAAATTCAATTCGGAACGCATTTTTGTGTTAGTTTTCAGAAGGCTAATAAATCTGCAAGCAAAATGTAATTTATTTTAAAATTAAAATTTTCGTTGATTTTTGACAATTTTAACGATGTAACCCCTTATAAAATTTAAAAAAATTTGGTTAATTTTTTTGTTTCTTCCAGATATGGCTAAAAGACTCGCCTGTTGATGCTGATGAAGAATATATACGATTTATAGGGTCGGAAATGACTCCTTCGCAGCCTAACTTATTTTTGACGGAAATTATAATGTCCTGGAATAGTATAGAATGCTTAACTATTACCTAGAAAATCCAAAATTTTGGGGAAGACTTCCTTTCAAAGGAACCTAGAATTTAAAGAATTCTTCGAATCTAAAAAGTTAATTATCCAAATAGAATAAACCAAGCTATAATTTTTAATATTTTAAATTTTATTTTGTCCTCCTTAGTACTGTAATCATTGTCTTCCATTTAGGCTAATTAACTAAACAATAAACGGCATAATACTTAAGTGGTAATTCACTACTGGGCTCCAAGCTATATTTACAGGAAAGGTACAACATTGGGCGGGCTCCAAACAAGGCTCCTTATCGCAGCAGATCCCCCAGGGCAGAGATGTAGGTCTGGGCCATCTGCAGGGTCTCGTGCTTGGACAACTGGCGGTCGTTGCCCAGGCAGGGAAGGTACTGCCTGAGTCGGTCGAAGGCCTGATTGAGGTTCTGCATCCGACGACGCTCTCGGGCGTTGGCGGCCAGGCGGCGCTTCCGCTTGACCACCGGAGTGATCTGCTTGCCACGCCTCTTCTTGCCGGAACCCGCTGCGGCGGCATCACCCTCTCCATCGGCCAGGTCGAAGGAGCCATCGTTGCCATCGAAATCCTCGCCGCCGCTGCCGAAGAGCATCAGATCGTCATCGTCCTCGACGCTGTCATCGAACAGGGCGGAGTTGTCGAAGTCAAAGTTCTGGAACTCGTCGGTGTAGAGGTTCATTGTGGCTGTGGTTTCTGACGAGGCGGCGGCTGAGGTAGAGGCAGGCGAAGTGGCCGCCACTTGCTGGTTCTTCTTGGAGTAGGAGCGCTTGGGTTTAGGGACGGCAGCAACTGGAGCGGGCACAGTCTTGCAAGTGCCCACATTAGAGGAGCCCATTGCCTCCACAGCCGGCGGAGTGGTAACAGCCGGTGGTCCTTGAACTGCTGCTGCTGTAGGAACCACTCCCTGCTCCAGGATCAGTCCATACTGCTGCTGCTGGGGTTGCATGTTGCAGCCACCATTGTACATGGTATTGAGATCCACATACTCGGGACTCTCGGACCGGTGGCTGGCCGGCGAGGACGAGGAGATCCAGCCATCGGAGCTGGCCTGCTCGAAGCTAATGAATCCGTTGGCCGACAGGTAGTTGCTGCTGCTGGCCAGCGAGTTGCAGTTGAATTGGTAGTGGCTCACCACGCCGGGATTGTAGGCGGCCATGGGGTTGAAGTACGGCTCGGTGGCCGCCGTCTTGAAGCCCTGCAAGTCCTCGGAGGTCTTGTAGTAGTAGCGATAGATCTCACTGGATGACATGGCGAAGGATGCTGTGTGCTGGTCTGCTGGTCGAAGGTAAACGGACGCTGCGGTTGCTGGCTGGTTTCTGGCTGGTCTCTCGTCCTTTCAGCCCTATTTATACCCGGGAGAAGCCACCACGACCGGGCAGGTAGGGCATGGGACCAGGGAACAGGGTCGGGGCACAGGTAAACGGGTTCCCACGAGAGAGCACAGCACGTGCCGCCCGAGCTAGCCAGCCAATGGCAGTTGGTGGTGAGTTGTGAGCTCCAGAGCTGAGGGATTCTGAGTATATTTTACTTATTTTGCTCGGGACACTGCGCTTAAAATGGCGAATTGCTAGACAAAGTAGATTTTATTTATTATAAAAATAATATACATACATTTATTTAGCACAAGATTAAAAATTAAAATAAAGTAAGAAAAAAAAACCTTTTAAATTGTACCATATTTATTTGTTTATCTTTAAATATATTAGTTTTTTATGTATTTATAAAAGTTTATAAATTTATATAATTTTTTCATTTTATTCAACTTTAATCTCCTTGGTAAAATACAAGATTTGGTAAGATAAGAATTGGTCTTTTCCTGCTACTTATCATTCAACGTACATCTAAAGCCGCTAACAAGATGATTATGGGGTTTGCCAATCCGGAACTAAAATGGGCGGAAATGCAAACAGAACTTTGGATAAACATTCCCTAAACAGAATCCTGAAACAGGATTAAAGCCAACCGCAAAAAGTGAGGCGAAATTTGCAAAAATCCCTTCAGATTTCTAACCATCATCAGCGATTTGTCAGCACCAAAAGACCATAGAGAGCGACTCTCCTTGGTGAGTTTATCTAATCTGAATCGAGGCAGCAGGACTACCTGCCTGCCGGCCTGGCAGGACCAGCCTTAGAAAAGTACCGACAGGCAGGATATATCGCAATGGAAAATCTTGTTTATTACAACTTGGCAAATTCTCCAATTGATACGCTTGTTGGCGGCGAACGAAGGCCGAGAAACCTTGAAGAGTGTGAGTCGGCGCTAGCCAAGGAAACGCTCAACTGAGTCCTTGATCCCTCTAATAAGCGTGGCAGGCTCCGACTAAGAGTTGGGTTAACATTTTAGCGCCTCGCAATTAATACGGATGCCTCGGGTTGCGGGCTGATGAAAAAGGGAATTTAGTTGTAGATGAAACCCGGATGACATGGCATAACGGCGAAGGGAGAACACGGTGGTCCCAGGATCGGCGGGATCGGAGCCGTGGACCCGCCCACGCACCCTCAATCCACCCTAATGATTCGCTGGAAATCATAGTGTAATGAGTTTAATATCCCTTTGAAGATCCGCGCCCACCCAGCCACTGGGGAAACAACTAGTAGCACGCCCCAAAAGGACCTGCAATAAAAACGCTGTCAATTAGATAAAAATGTCACACAACAAACCGCACCAAGCGAGAGAGCGGCACCGCAAGAATTTATTGGACGCACTCAGGTAGTCCCCGAGAGCCCGAGAGCCTTCCGATTGTCCCTCGAATGTCCTGTGCAATTTACGAGTCGGCTGCGCACATGACATGTGCAAGTGACGCCCTCGGTTACACCTGCGGAAAAGATCGCATCCCTTGGATTGCGCATCGCCTTGGCTGATGTAAACTTTACCTTGTTATCGGTATTAGCTGATGTCCTGGCATCCGCCTGAGACTTGAGTCCTGCATATATCGATTTGAAAATTTACATTTTCATTGCAACGATCGCTGCTGATCGCTGCACGTGCCTTGTGCGTTGCAGAGGCAAAAAGGCCAAAAGGGTTAACAATACGCAGCTATTTTTTTCAGCTCCTCGGACGGGCGCCTTGCGTGCCTGTCAGTTATCGAGTAGCCTGATCGATGCGGAGGAGACCCAGTAGGTCTCCAGTGCCCAGTGCCCAACTCCATCATTGGCATCATTACGCTGGTAACCGGGTCGTTTCTTTCATGTCAATATGGATAAAGGCAACTTGTGCAATGGGACGACTGAGAGGCGCTGGGAATGCGGAGCAGCTTCCAGAAAGCGCATGTCAAAAGCCAGATCCCTGCTGGGGATTACCCTAAGAGGAAGATGGAATGCTCTTACTTAAATATAAATATATTTACCATATTTAGAGAACACAGGGACCTAAAAACGAAATGTATTTATACGGAAGAGACGCGCTCATATTTTTATTTCGTAAAACAATGCCTGACATTTTCATATTTAACTTTAAGTTCCTTTATGGAAGTTTAATGAAATACCATCAATTTTTTTTTGTAAGAAAGAAACTTAAAGAAATTTCTAACTACATTTTTAATAGAGGTTAAATTTAGTCCTAAATAAAAAAGATAAATAAATATTACAAATATTAAATCTTCAGCCCAAAGTCTTAAAGATTTGTCCTTTTGCCATCGTTTACCCTTTTCCCAGGAACGTGGAGGCGCTGGGGTTGGCAATACACAAGGAAAGTATGCGCACGTCAACGACTCCCATTAGCAAGTCGCTCTGGGCCGTGAAAGTGTTGTCCAGCTCCGGAACGAGCTCCAAGCGGATCCCAGCTTCTGAAGATCAGCCTCAATTTCGGCCCAGTTATTTTTTGCGACTCAAAATTGAAAAATTTGTATGTTACTTATTTTATTAGCATTTAACACTCTGTCCCATTTTCCAGACGAGAGCGAAAGGACGGAGAAAGGAACATGCAATCCGACTGTCTGGATTCGCATGCCATCTCCAACTCAACTTCGTGGCAAGTACCCCCGGCTCCTTCTGGATCATACCTGTGGGTGGCCTGGCCCCAATCCCGGAGTCTCTCTCGGACTCCGTGTGTGGCATTTCGGCAATTGTCAAATTGAAAATTCATTAAAGCCGAATTAAATATGCAAATGCAGAGCAGCCCAAGTCGAGGAGGAGGACATCCATGGGCCACTGGCCACTCATTGTTTCTCCTCAACTGTTTGACTTGGCTCTGCAAATATTGACCGCCACGGAGAGAGGTGGAAAAAAAATGGAAAATATCATATGTACATATGGCAGCTCCTCCTCGATTGCCGCAGAAAAAAAGCCAAGTGGAAATCAAAGCAAATACGAGGGCTTCGAGGATGGAAGCAAACAAGGTCCGGTGGGATGGACTCTGGACCGAAAAGCGTTCAAAATTGTTTAAACAAATATCGTGCATAAATTGCACATTGTCTGTGGAGTGGCCGGCAAATTGCTCTGGGCATGGGTTAATTCCCATGAAAATTAAAACTAGATTATACACAAGGACTCGGCTCACCTCGCCTCGAATCGGTCCCTGCAGCGCCCACTGTGTCATTGTTTGGGCACGCCCTCAGCCCTCGTCTGCCATATCCCATTGTGCCGGCACTTTGTCATAGATTGCATACTGATGGTTATCATCCCCGAGTAGGAGGAGGACGAGGTCAGTTGTTTATATGGGAGATCGGAGCAGGGAAGGGCAGTTTTTGTCGCACGGCATCTTTGACTTTGATGCCGCAATTCTCTTGTTTTGTTTTGCCAACATTTTCGATCGATATCTGGACTGATCTCCTTGGCAACTGACTGGCGCCAGCATTGATCCCCTTATCCCTTATCGAAACAAGTCTAATTCGCCACACATATTTTATAGGATTCTGCATTTGAGACGGTTGTGGCGTAGAGGTGCTAAATTTTAGAATTTACACTATTTAAATACAAACGTAATATCTTCTAGTCCGCAGTTTTGAATTATCAATAAAACAAAGACAAATTGATTACTAATAGGACAAAGTAAAGCCACGTTTTCTTGTCTCTGATAAAGGAAACAAAGCAGAGAAACATTAATTTCACGTTGCATTTCGCCAGGTTCCTCCTACATTTCCGAGTCGGAAGTGGCAGAGTCATAACCGATCGACAAATTGTGATTGCTATTGTTATGAGAAAGGACCCCAAAGGTCCCACGGAACCCTATCCTCCTGCCAGATCCCAGCCAAGTGATCAATTCAAATTTGAAACACTGCGAGAGCTGGTGGCGAGGAACAAAGAAAACCAGATGAAAACTACGCAATCACTTGAGAAAAATCAAAAAGGCTCTGAAGGACCTACACGGCCTCTCCTCTGGCCCTGGTCGTAACCATAACATAACAGGTGGCACGGAAGCCGCACAAAATAAAAATGATTAAAGCAATAAAAAAAAACGAAACGAAACGAAACGAAAACGAAACTCTCACACAAAAGACGGGCCAAGGGAAGAGCCTCAAAAGCAATTTTTAATAAGATTTTTCGTAAATTTTAAAACAACATTGAAGAGGCCTAGGAGAGATGCTGTCCCCTCCTGTTGCTCAAACAACTTCCGATTCCGATCCTAGATCAGAGGATCCTTTTGGGCGTCTCCCCGGCAGCGGGCCAAGTGTGAGAACATTTTGCGGAAGGATGTGGCTAGGATGAAAAATGACTAAGAAAAGCAAAGGCGAGGGCGAGGGCGAAGGGCTTGAAGTCGACCTGGTCTCGCAGACCACGTGGTTAAGATTCACTTTCGAGTGACTCACTCTCATGATTAGGAAAACGAATAATTTCATTCACAATAGAAAAAATATTTCAATTTAAGAAATACGTTGCTTTTATGCTAAAATATCCTTTTAATAGTTTTTAAATTTTTGAGTTTTAACATTTGTAAAATATATTTCTGACCTCTTTAATTATTAAGGCTCTAGTTCCCAGTAAATAAAAATCAATCTAGAGCCTACAACTGTTAATTTTATTCAAGTAACCGATTTTTCCCGGTGTGAAATAGAGGTCTGAAGCTCTGAATGGATGAGAAATTACCAAGGAATTCTCGTAGCGTAATTGAGCATCTAATTTGCGGCGGCAGGCGGCAAAGACGGCAATTGCAGGAACTCCTCGGAACCCCTCGGAACCGTCGGCATTCCGGTCACGATCCGCTCTAGATGCACTTCATGAATGGAACAGGCCCAGGAAAGTGTTTCCCTGAAACCCAGCCGAAGAGCACCTCCGTCTCGAGGCCCATTGAGAGACCCGCCGAACAACGGCCACTCGAGCGCGAAACAATTAACAAGTTTTCGTAGCGATAATACAACAATTGCCATATTGTTGCACTCAAGATTTTGTTGTTAGCCGCGGAAAATAAAAAATAAAACAGGAGAGAGTGCCAGCGAATTCCTTTGAATTCACGGATTCAACCCCGGGACCAGAGGGACATGGCCACTGCTGACCTTTGGAAGGGGAACATCGGAGGCCACTCGCCGATCGCTGAAAGAAAACGAAAATTTATAATAATGTGGAGAGGGGCGTTGCGGTGCGGGTGCGGGGAATAAAATGTAAACTAAAGATACTATTTATATGCATTATTTCGGCTGAAAAGGAAGTACCAAATTACATTTAATTAGGCGAAACAACGAAATTCGCGTACCGTACGCGAATCCGAGATAAAGATGGGCAAATGGAGTGGGATCAGGAGCAGGAGCAGGCGCAGGAGCAGGATGGATGGCCAGTCAGAAGTCAGACCGATTACCACCGAAATCCGAGTCGAGTTTAGTCCCTGGAGCCCTTCGACTGGCGGCTGCGACTGCGACTGGCGACTGCCTTTGGGTGAAATTCGCACGTTTAACCTTTAGGCAAACAAAATTAACAGAACAGCAAAGAACAGCAAGAGGTCACTGAGAGAAAAAGGGTTTACCAAAGAAAAAAATTGATATTTAAAAAAAGGCTAGAAAATTTCGAACAAGTCAAACCAAACCAATTTGTATTTTTTTAGCTCTACTTGAAAAAAGTTTAAAAGTAGATTAAGTTCTCGAAATCATTAAATTTGATTGTATTTTAATTTTATATATATAAACTTTAAATAAAGACAAAAATATTAATAAATATTTGTAAACATTTTAGCACTTACTTAACTTGGTATTTAAGCTTAAGTTAAAGAAAAAAAAAATCTTTTCTCGCTGTGCAAAGAGCCGCAACGATCAGCAATCGAAAACTGCGAACCTGTTGAACCCAAATGCAATTTTCATATCCCTTTGATTGCTGCCCAGGATGACACGCGTGCGCCGGCTAGAGAGAGATGAGATAAGCTGCCAATGATCCAGGCAGCCCCGAGAGTCTGGATGAAGATGAGCTGAAGCTTAAGCCGAAGCCGAAGCCGAAATTAGGGTAACAACCAAGGAGGAAGCAAAAAAAAAAGCGAAACTTTCAAACGGTTTCAAGGACTGGCTGGCCTCTTATTCTTTCTTCGTTCCCTTTTTTTTCTCCTTTTTAATTCTGCGGAGGTCAGTTTATGATAATTCCCTTTTCCCATAGGTGCCATTGGCACTTCTCACCTTTTTTCTCCTGTCTGCTGTAAGGACGAGAGTCAAGTGGCCGTCGTCCATTCCACACAAAAGAAATCGAAATTAAATGCAAACAAATCCCAAAACGGTCAGTGTGAGAAATGACTTTCTAGGAAGGATCTTCCTGCATCAGAGGCAACATGATCTCAGTGGCAGTAGTTGACTGTCATCAGAGGAGTCCCTATCCCCGATCGGGGGTAATTGATATGTTTTACCTTGTAGCATCGTGTAGTGTAAAAGTGAAATGTAAATCGTAACTGATATCGGCCGGTGGGCAATTTCTCAAACATCAGCCAATGAAATTGAAAAATTGCCCATCAGATAAGTGGCTACTACTGTCTGGAGCCTTCTAGCAGGTATTTCAGAGTCCTCTCTAATTTGAAAATCAAATTCTGGATTGGGTTTGGAGAAGCGCTGACAGATCCTGATATTGGGGGACGTCGCATCGTTGAGGTGACAATTGCATTTGAAGGAAAATTGATATTTTTAACCGCAAGTGTCACTTGTTGGACGACCACACAGACATTGGAGCCAAGGCTTAAGGAAGGCTCTAACCAGGTAGCGGAAAAGCAAGAAAAATTCCCAGCAAATTAACAGGATGATCAATGATCCTTCGGAGTTTGCCATTTGCAAGCAGGAAGAGGTGTTTCGCTCAATGTGAACTAGAGCAAAATGTGTGAAGAAACTAGAGCCCGAGCTGGCGTAATTACTATAATGCTTTCTTCGGACCAGAACAAAGGACTAGGAGCTCCTAAAATTAACTCCCAAGGACAGAGTCATAATTAGCATAATTACAGAGGATCGAACCGACGCCAGGACAAATTCCCAGACAAGAATTCGATTTCTAAGACTCAAATCCAATGATCACTCTATTTCGATTTCCAGGAATCCGTGGAATCGTTTGATAAATTGACCAGAAACTCGTGTCTGACTTAACGCCCTCGCTGGAGCTGCAGCAGAAGAAGGGGTTAATTGCCTCGGGGATGCAGGATTCTATCACGTGTCCAGGCACAGCCAGGCATTCTTTACAGTGGAGTGAGTCGAGCGAACAACTTTAAATGCCCCAATTCAAAAACAGAAAAAAAAATAAGGGGGATGCGTTGGCGTTGACCACAATCCTTGCTGGCTTCGCCTGTGTTTGCACTGCATTCGTTCGATTCGTATGGAGATATATGTACAGATATAGATGCCAGGCAGAGCGGCACAAATATAAACAATAATCAATCTCTCCAAGGGTTGGGCAAACAAGAACAAAAACACACAAAGAACTCGGAGGGCAAGGACATGTCCAGAAGGCGTTCTTGAATTGATTATTCCCCTGGGTACAAAAGAAATTAAATATGAAAGGGCCTGCTCTAATTTAATACATATTTATGAGGGAAATAGATCAATGCCAATGCAACGATCCTCGAATGAGTCCTTTACTTGGCTGATTAAGGGTTTATCTGTGTTCACAAACAATTAAGCCCCAAATTGTGAATCCAGATTTAGTTCCCCATTCGTGAATCCAATGGTTTTAAACTAATAAATTAAATCAGAGTATATAAAATCAAAACTACCTATTTATATGTATATTCATATCTTAACTATTTTAAAAAATGAGTTTTATAAACAATTGACTAGGTAAACAATATCTCTTCGAGCTTAACCACCTTGCCCTCCTTAACTGTTGTGTGTTTTCAGTTTTTTTTTGCCTCCATTTGGCCACAAGTTAATTTTTAAACGCTTCATTAACTTTTGGCCACACGCGTTCCAAACTTTTTCCTCAGCCCCTACCCCTCCACCTGCGGGACTCGGCTCGGGTTCGTCTGACGTGCGTCTGCCAAGGCGGTAGATGGGTCGTTTAGCCTGTTGGTCCGGTCCTAAACACCTCGTCCTCCGTGGCCCGCTCCCTTTCGTCCCTAGAAAAAAGAGCCAATGCTTTTTACTTCCGATTTTTTTTTTTTATGTTTGCTGTTATTCGCTGGCATCAATATATTTTGGAAATGCAGCGCATGGCGACAGCTGGCACACGCTTTTTTCGGATGATTTGGAATCCATACAAGCAGCGGCGTGTGTGGCAGGTTTTTTGCCTGTGCGTCGTCGTCGTGGGTGTGTGCATGCAATAGAAATGCCAGTGAAAGCGGCGACAGATGGCCGCCGAGATGCAAGTGTCAAGGCTGACTTAACACTTTTTCTTCGTTATTATTATTTAATTATGTAAAGCATTTCAAATTCGATAGGCAGAGTGGCGATGGCGCCTAAGGGTAATCGAATGTACGGTTCGGATGTGGTTCGAGTATCGGGTACGGTTCGAATATCAAAACCTATCGATTTCTTTCCTCTGGTCACACCATCGCGCACATGTTTGTTTTGTTGACAAAATCTTCGACATGTCGCGAAAAACATGGGATTCCCTGGACAAACCGCCGCTCTCCGAGGCTGTGCTGCAGGTGGTGCAGAGCTTCGGCTTCCGGCAGATGACGCCCGTCCAAACGGCTGCCATACCGCTGCTCCTGGCGCGGAAAGATGTCTCCGCAGAGGCTGTCACGGGCAGCGGGAAAACGCTGGCCTTCCTCGTGCCCCTGCTGGAAATTCTGCAACGACGCCACAAGGAGTCCGCCTGGGGCGCCAAGGAGATCGGAGCACTCATCATCTCGCCCACCAGGGAACTAGCTCGCCAGATATCTGAGGTGCTGGCTAAGTTCCTGGAGCACGAGGATCTGGAGCACCTGAATCAACAGTTGATTGTGGGCGGCAACAGCATCGAGGAGGATATCGCCACGCTCAAGAAGGAGACTCCCTGCATACTGGTGTGCACCCCCGGCCGACTCGAGGATCTCTTTCAGCGGAAAGGAGACGATCTGAATCTGGCGGCGCGAGTCAAGAGCCTGGAGTTTTTGGTCCTCGACGAAGCCGATCGCCTGCTGGACTTGGGCTTTAAGACCAGTGTAAATAATATTCTCGGCTACCTGCCCAGGCAGCGAAGAACTGGCCTGTTCTCCGCCACCCAGACCACGGAGGTTACAGACCTAATCAGAGCAGGATTACGAAATCCTGTACTGGTTTCAGTGAAAGAGAAGGCCTCCGTGAACACACCCGCTCGTCTGCAGAACTTCTACAGGATTGTCGAACCGGAGCGCAAGTTCGTGGCCCTGCTGGAGTTTCTCAGCTCGCCCGCCACTCGAACCGGCAAGGTGATGGTCTTCTTTCCCACATGCGCCTGCGTGGAGTACTGGACCGAGGCCCTGCCTCCGTTTCTGGCCAAACGCACTGTGCTGGGCATCCACGGGAAGATGAAGAACAAACGGGCCAATGTGGTGGAGAAGTTTCGCAACGAACCGCAGGCCGTGCTTCTTTGCACAGATGTCCTGGCACGCGGCTTGGATGTGCCCGAAATCGAGTGGGTGGTGCAATGGGATCCGCCCTCCACTGCCTCCAGCTTCGTGCATCGCGTGGGACGTACAGCTCGGCAAGGTAATGAGGGCAACGCTTTGGTGTTTCTCCTGCCCAGCGAAGATTCTTATGTTCACTTCCTGAGGATCAACCAGAAAGTGGACCTGAATGAACTGACCCAGGAGGAAGACGGGGAGGATACCCCAGCGATGGAACTGCCAGCTGTGCTGCAGAAACTGCATCGCCTCCAGGCGGCAGACAAGGGTGTCTACGACAAAGGAATGCGCGCCTTCGTTTCCCATGTGAGAGCCTACACCAAACATGAATGCAGCGCCATTCTCCGGCTGAAGGATCTTGATCTGGGAAAGATGGCCACTGCCTACGGACTCCTGCAACTGCCCCGCATGCCAGAGTTCAAGAACTACAAGGGCGATGGCTACATTGCGCCCACCTTCGAGGTGGATGTTAACAAGCTGACCTACAAAAATGTCCAGAAGGAGCAAGTGCGTCAGATAAAGCAGCAAAAATACGAGGAAACCGGCAGCTGGCCGGGCCTGAAGAAGCACCAAAAGCGCACAGAGTCATGGGATCAGACCAAGAAGGCCAAGCTGGACGCCAAGTCAAAGAAAGAGCTGCGCAAGGCGAAAAAGAAGCGCAAGAAGGAGACGGAAGCAGAAGCCGGGGGCTCGGGACCTGGCAAGCGAAAGAGGCAGCAGTTCAGCCAGGAGGATCTCGATGAGCTGGCCAGCGACATTCGGCTGTTCAAGCGGCTTAAAAAGAACAAGATCAGCGAGGAGGACTATGACAAGGCAATGGGCATAAAGGACGATGATTGACCTAAAGCAGCGGGGACTTCTTTATGTTCAATAAAAATGTTATTAGGAAACTGGTTTTTATTTAATTTGTTTATTATTGTGGATAATAAAAAGTGCATAAAATTAGCAGTGCTAATTTATTTATATTTTTATTTAAATTAATATAAAATGCGAAATATTATTTCCACCCCAAAAGTATGCTGTTCAGTTCCCAGACGTGGTTTGAATTCGATCATAAAATATTGTCATGGCCCAACGAAAACGAAAGATCATATATTCGTTTATGACAACTGGAAAATATTTTGGGGCTATATCTTTATATCAGCAACTTTGTCGCTTTTATAGGGTATCTTGGCAGCGTTCATAAACTGTTTTAATCATTTTGTTTAACAATTCTTGAGGCAGAGACCTCTCTTGAAACATTGAGTTTCGTCTATTCTAAATAGATTATTTTGTTGAAATAGAAAAACTGCAATTACAAGAGAGTACGTAGGAATAGTGCCTCGCTCTTTCCCATTTATTGTGAAAATCTCACCAACTGCAGTCAGTACCCTATTAGAGGCTGTGTTATTGCTCTTCAATTAAAGGCCAAGCTACTACACTCCTGCCCACAATTATACGACACCCCGAAAACTTTAGTTTCGACCCTCGTAGGAATGTCGGGAAGCATATTACAACAAATTCAAGTATGCTGAATTAAAGCTTAATGAATTCTGCTTAAAATATGATTTTTTTATCTCTGATTGGACCACCCGTTTTTAAATAGCGTTAAAAAAAGCAGAAAAGCCCGATTTTTGCCATGCCTGAAACTGTATCATAGCTATACGACACATGTCAATTTTAACGGCTAGAGGTAATTATTTGGATTCAAATAATTTTTTTTATGTTTCTGGTAACATTTTAATGATTTGGAAATAAAATGCCAAGTGGATGTTTGTTATCCGACGAAAAAAAGGGAAGAATAAGGGCTTACAACGATGCTGGCTTTAATGTAAGCGAAATATCGCAGAAAATGTATCAAATACGTTGTTTTATCCCAAGTTTTTTTTAAATTCGGATTAATATGGAGTGAAGCAAAGCTCTGGAAGGATCCCAAGTTGCCCGACCGCCATGAACGTCGCATAATTCTTAGATTTAGCTATTCGATTGCTTGGAGCGCCACACTTGCCGCTAGTTGCAGTCAGCCTGTGTCACGAATGACTTTCTGGCGGACACTGAAATCATCGTAGTACATAGTCAGAGTAGTCTTAAAGACGGCTCCATTCTTAAAAATGAGCTACAAAACAGAACAACTTAAATTTTTAGGAAAAAGTCTTGGAGACACTGGCCTCAGTATGACATTTTAACTTATTTTTGATTATACAGTTTTTTTTCAATATTTTTTAGGTAGATAATTTTTTCTGACGAAAAAAATGTTTATCTTGACGGCCCAGATTGGTTTTGACACTATTGGACAGATTTACATGAGGTTAAACTTATTTTTTCAAAACGCTGTTTTGGGGGAGCCTTTCATGCGTCTTAAGCGCTTGATCTGTGCTTCCCAGATCCAAGATGAATAGTGGAGAATACAAAAAAGTATTTCATGATCGTCTTCTAACATTTTTGGAACAACATATGGAAAAATATCATGTTTTTATGCAGGATTCACCAAGTTAGAGAGACCCAGCGCTTCATAAATAATCACAATATAAGAGTTTTGGGTTGGCCACCGTGCTCCCCTGGCTTGAATTTAATTTAAAACATTTAGTTTACTTAAGTCAGGCGAGCTTAGGCCAATAACAAGAAATTTTAGAGTGTCAGGACCCTTAAAAGTGATATTTTGGGTCAAAAGTTTCCATTACACCAATATTTACCAAAAAAGTTTGTTAATTCAATGCCTAAGAGACTTTTTGAGGTTGCCAAGACTTAAAGTGGCTCTATTAATCATTAAACAATTTTTTATATACCATTAAAATTATAAAATATTAAGTAAATCGAAAAAATTGACATGTGTCGTATAGCTATGATACAGTTTCAGGCATGGCAAAAATCGGGCTTTTCTGCTTTTTTTAACGCTATTTAAAAACGGGTGGTCCAACCAGAGATAAAAAAATCATATTTTAAGCAGAATTCATTAAGCTTTAATTCAGCATACTTGAATTTGTTGTAATATGCTTCCCGACATTCCTACGAGGGTCGAAACTAAAGTTTTCGGGGTGTCGTATAATTGTGGGCAGGAGTGTATTGAAGCTATCAGATATAATTTTGTTCTTGATCGAGAGAAGTTCTTTCTATTAAGTCGCGAGACCTTGTCGTGATCGGACGTACTGCGGGATTCTTCCGTGCTTGTAGAGTGAAATAGTTTTGTGGCTTTATTGGGGCTTGCCCGCCGCATCATGGAGCTAAATAATGTTGAAATCGGCGTAAGTGAATGGGTTTTTCTATGATTTTCGCGAGAGGTTTTATGTAACAGCCTTTCCGTCCGCTGCTGCCAATTGCCACCTATCTGTTCATATTTTGATGTTCATCAGTTCCGTTTTGTGGGTCATTTCCTTGATCAATAGCTTATATTGCTTAATTGTTTTTATTGCATCGCATTTCGAGGGGATAAGAAACACACAAGTCCCTGGAGAGTATATCCCGCAGTTCATTTAGAAATATTTTTTAAACGATTTAGGGGAGGGAGTAACTGCTGACAATAAAGAATGGCAATTTGTCTAAAGTACTTATGCGACCCAAACCCTTCAGTCAACCATGCTGAAATCGACAGCAGCGTTAATTTATTATCTGATTTATTACCCGATTGATTAACTCTCCCAGTCAATCTGTCATTAATTTATGGTCTGATTAACATAGCTGACTCTAACAAGCTGAGAGACTAATACCGGCGCTTTCAGCGATTCCTGGACTGATACTCTCGCTCAATTAATCACTTTTGGCGACCGCAGGCGTCAGTCGATAAAATTCCCTCCTCCCACTCCATCCATGAGTCTCTTTGTGCAATGCAGTTATGGAAATTAATGCGAAAATTAAAAGGCGATTCTCATAAATAAAACATTAAAATTTCCCGCACTCTGCAATTACACAATATAAAGTCGGAATATCTTCATACCAGCCAACAATATCCCTCATTAACATAAGTAAATAGAAATTGGCATTAATATATTATAAATTCACTGATCAGCGAACGTTTGCAGCAGACGTTTTATTATATTCAGAGATGAAAATATATTTCTACTGAGCGGTATTCGCTGTATAATTACAAACAATATTTTTAAATTTTTTTCCTATTTTATGTTAAGCCAAATTTTCATTAATTTCAATTCGAACTGAATTTTATTCAAATATTTACCTATAATTTTATAAATATTTACCCAACAACAACAATAACGAAACCAAAAATATGTTTTAATTTTTTGACAATTTTAACGATGTTACTTTTACTTATCAAATGTAAAAAAGCGGTGAAATTTTTTGGGAAAACCCATATTTAAAGAATTCATAACTAAGCCAAAATTTAAGAAAATATATTCAATATATAGGATCAGAAATAAGAACTTGAAAGGGTTACTAGCTGACTAAAATTAGATAACCCTGAAAAGGTACAAATTACACCTTAATTTCAAAATATGTATGTATGTATGTAGTATGTAATTGTTAAGTTATATTGGATTTCAGGGTGAATCATCAAAGACCCACGCTGAAGCTGCTACCACACCTTCGAGCGATGAGAAGGTCAAGCCGCAGTTGTTATACGCCATTAATGACAATCCACCGTGGTATCTGAGCATCTTCCTGGCCTTCCAACATTACCTCACCATGATCGGAGCCATTGTCTCAATACCCTTTATACTGACGCCGGCACTGTGCATGTCCGATGAGGACGCAAATCGCGGTATTATCATTTCAACAATGATCTTTGTCACCGGCATCGTGACCTACTTCCAGGCCACTTGGGGCGTGCGTTTGCCCATTGTCCAGGGTGGAACTATCTCTTTTTTGGTTCCGACTCTCGCCATTTTGTCCTTACCGCAGTGGAAGTGTCCGGCGCAAGCCGAGATGGATGCCATGAATCAGGCCGATCGGGAGGAACTGTGGCAAGTGCGCATGCGCGAGCTATCCGGCGCCATCGCTGTATCTGCGATGGTGCAAGTCATCCTTGGCTACACAGGCCTGGTGGGCAAGATCCTAAAGTACGTGACTCCATTGACAATTGTGCCCACGGTGTCTCTGGTGGGTCTCACACTATTTGAGCATGCGGCGGAGACTGCCTCGAAGCATTGGGGTATTGCTGTGGGGTAAGTATTATCTATGAATCCTTGTTTACGGAAAACTGATTACAAAATTCATTATGTTTTTCCGTTTCCACACAGAACCACTGGAATGCTGACACTCTTTTCGCAAATAATGTCCAATGTATCCATACCGGTGCCGGCGTATCGCAAGGGTCATGGAGTGGAGGTGCGCCAGTTCCAGTTGTTCCGCCTCTTCCCCGTCCTACTGACAATTATGATCATGTGGGGACTATGCGGCATCCTAACGGCTACGGACGTCTTTCCACCGGGCCATCCATCTCGAACTGATGTGCGACTCAATGTGCTGACCAGCGCCAAGTGGTTCTACGTGCCCTATCCGGGCCAGTTTGGTTTGCCCTCAGTGACGCTGTCCGGCGTGCTGGGAATGCTGGCAGGAGTGCTGGCGTGCACAGTGGAGTCGCTGAGTTATTATCCCACTGTGTCCCAGATGTCCGGTGCTCACTCGCCGCCGCTGCATGCTATCAATCGGGGCATCGGCACCGAGGGATTAGGAACTGTGTTGGCCGGACTCTGGGGCGCCGGAAATGGAACTAATACATTTGGTGAGAACGTTGGTGCCATTGGAGTTACCAAGGTGAGTTTAAGTTTAACTTACAACTTGAGCCTTTATCAGTTACCAATCTTTCCAGATCGGATCGCGTCGGGTGATTCAATGGGCTGCTTTTATCATGGTGCTCCAAGGAGTAATTGGAAAGTTCGGTGCCATCTTCATCCTCATTCCCGACTCCGTTGTGGGGGGGATCTTTTGCGTGATGTTTGGCATGATCATTGCCTTCGGCCTGTCTACGCTGCAGTATGTTGACCTGCGATCAGCGAGAAATCTCTACATCTTGGGACTCTCCATATTCTTCCCCATGGTGCTGTGCCGCTGGATGCAATTGCATCCCGGGTCAATCGACACCGGCAACACCACTGTGGATTCCACGTTGTCGGTGTTGCTGGGCACAACGATACTGGTGGGAGGAGTTCTGGGATGCCTGCTGGACAATCTGATACCTGGAACTCCGGCGGAAAGGGGCCTCATCGAGTGGGCCAACGAGATGCCCCTGGGTGATGACAACATCAACGACGGCACAGCCACTGACTATGATTTCCCGTGTGGTATGGATGCTATTCGCAGCTGGCGGTGGACCTACAAAATCCCGTTTTTACCCACCTATAAGCTCCAGAAGCAGAGTTAAACAAATGCACCGATAATTAATTTGGTAATTAGTTTTGTAATTAATTCAATTCACATATTCTTCTATTCGTGTTTAATTTTTTTTTAGAATCCACCGCTTCTTCTCACGCTCTAAATACATTTTTAATTTTGAATTCAGACTCTACCCAAAACACTTTATTTATTTAGTTTGTTTCATAATTTGTTAATTTGCTTTTTAAATTCGCTTATTGTTTGTGACTTCTTCGCTCGCAATTCACATATTTTCTATTATTTGGCAATAACATCAATAGTTCTAAGCAAACGAAGGACCTTATAATAAATTTCGAAAGCAATCATTTATCAGTTCTGTATTATGCATAAATATTACAGTTCCAGTTACAAAATTATTTTACAGACATTTTAACGCATCTTCGGAGAGATGTTTTTGTTTTTTTAAAGCATAGAAAATACATACAAGTATCTGTAAAATATGTCTCTTTCTTAATCTTTATCTTTGTCTGTTTTCGTTTCTGTTCCGCATACACACTTACAGATTAAAATCAACGTTATATGGCTTTTGGCTAAATATAAAACCGCCGAAGGAACCAAGGCACAATCATTTGAAAATCGTATATCGAGCCACGATCTATGTGTCTATAACTCCGCTAAAACCGCTGTATTTCGAGCTTCAACAAACCTACGACTATATGGGCAACGTCCAAAAGTCTGTGACCTAGTTTCTATATAAAAAAAAATATATATAAAAATCTGTGAAGCCTAAGGGATTCGGGACCAGTCTAGAACTTGTGCTGTTTTGTGTGGTATTGATGGTGCAGGGGCCCAGGCTGCAGCTGAAAATGTTGCTGTTGCTGTGGCTTTCTGGAGCTGCCACTGCTGGCGCGTGAGGATGATGACGAGGCGGTTGTGTTGGGCGGCTTGATTATGACCTGGCCATGGCTTTGCCCGTGGCCGCTTCCTAGTCCGTATCCAGAAGGCGCCTTCTTTCGTTTGGAGTAATAACAGAAGATGCAGAAGCCATTCTGCGGTGTGGTACATCAAATATTTGTAGGACTGCGAGTGGCAGATGAAGTGCGATAGCGCGATCCGGATCTGTAATACTTAATTTAATTAAACATCTATAAAAATATATATTTTCGTACCACTTTACTGACCTGGAAATGCTGGATGTGTAATCTCGAACGGGAGTACGCGTCTCCCTCCGCTGGTAGGAGGAGCTGCCTTCGCCGCTCCGGCTGGCCGTCGGGGGCTCAAGTAGGGACATCGTTCTATGGTCATACGACCGGATGGATCGTCTACCCAAGGTTGCATAACTATCCAGGTGGCTGCTTGCTGCGCCGCTGCTTGTGCTGGTGGTGGTAGGCAGGCTAGCATTTATTGTGTACGAAGATCGTCTTTTCGGATTGTAGGTGTTGTAGTAGCCACTGGCGATCGCCCCATTGCTAGGACTCGAGCTCGATGAGCTCTTGTAGCGCATGGGCACGGAGCTGTAGTCGTGCGTCTCATAGCGCTTGCTGAGAAACGAGGGCGAGGTATTCCGAATGTCATTTAGGCTCTTCCTCGGCTTGGTAGTGGATCCAGAGGCTCCCGAGGAGGAGGAGTAGTCTAGAGGAGAGCGGTAAACAGGAGGCTTGAGCTCCGTTCCTACGGGACTCAATTTCAGGGGCCTGAAGAACTGCTGGGCTATGTCCGGAGAGTGAGCTCGAACCGGCGGCGGATCTAGATCCGTGGCGTGCAGCTTGTGACTGGAGCGGGCCTTGACCGCTGCATGCTGCTCCCGGTAGTAGTCCCTTACCGCCGATGGACCCACAATGCTGCTGGTGCGACGCGGTTTCTTCTGTTCGTTAAAACGGCTATAGAAGCTACGCCTCTTAATCCGGTCGATCACACTCTCGTTGGGATCAGAGCTCTCCGAGTAGCGCGTGGGCGAGGACAGGGACGCCCGAGATAGACGAGACACCGTGGGTGAAGGCGTAGTGTGGAGCATATAGTTGTCCTCGGAGCATATAGACCAGTTGTCAAAGTACAACTCCGGCTCTTCGGTGGGTGAGAGGAACGTAGAGGTGGAGGCGCAGTCGTCATGATAGCTGTGCGAGTCCGACGAGTAGTTGGCAATGTTCTCGAAGGAGGGCGTGAGCAGCGTATTGTTCCGATTGATTTCGTGAGCCGAGGAGGTCCTGTAGCCGGAGGTCTGGGAGCTGCAGTTGTGGTTTGTGTTAGTCGAGTTGTTGTTGGTGGCGTTCTCCATAGACTGCTGGCTGGAGCTATTGTTGGAGCTAGCGCTTTTGGTGGTTCCCGGATAGGGTGGCAGGTTAGAGTAGATGACCAGTCCCGTGTTGCCATTGAGTAAAGTTGGATTTGTGTTGGCTCCTCGGTAGCTGCTGCCGTTTGTCGTCGCAGGAGCAGTGGACAACGAGCCGGGAGCGGCGTTGCCTGACCCGTTGGCGCTGGCTAAATCCAGCATTAGCCCTTTGCGCTTCTCCTTGTTGATTGCCGCAGCTGACGGCGGCGCATTGCTGGAGGTTTGAAGAGTCTGCCTATTGTTTTGACTGCAATCAGGACAGGCCGTCTCGCAGTTACAGTTCTGCTCGCTGGTTTGAGGGAGAGCTGGATCTGCTTTCGCCTTTAAGGCCTTCACCACATTTTGGTAGATGGGCGAGGCTGGTAGCGAGACATCCAGATCCTGCTCCTCCCGAACCTGTCGCTCAATGTTGCTGGTGGACCGTGTACTCCGAACCCGCCGTTGTAAGCTACTCTCCTTATCGAAGCGGCGAAGAAAGCCACCGAGCATCTTGTTCACTGCCCCTTCTGATCTACCCTGACCCTCTTGGGAGCCCGCGTGAAGTTCCTCAAAGCTAGCCGCCCTCTTGAGACGCATAATCCTTCCATTGGGCTGAGATCTTGGTACTGATCTTTCCCTCAGGGATCGCAGAATGTTGTCAAAACGGGATCTTTTATCCACTCGCTTGTCTTCTTCCAAAGGTTTCTCTGTATCGGGGACTTTCTTCTTTGATTTATGCGGTGAAATGCGATTCTCAGGTGATCCCTGCTTTTGGGTGCAGGCCAGAGAAGCAGCAGCTCCGGTGGATCCCATCTTTTTCTCCTTGCTCATCGCGGAATCTCGTAGCCTCTCAAACTTCTGGCCCAGTGCGTAGAGCAAGCCCTTGCTGGGTTTTTTATCAGGCGACTTTTCCTTTACTTTAATCACTGGACTGGACTCCTTGGAGCTGTCCACGGGAGTGGTTGTCGCCGTGGTTGTCGGCGGAGTGGGTGTAAGTGGTGTGGGAGGCACCAGCTTCGACTTCTTAGATACTTTTATAATCTTCTTGATGGTGGTGGGGCGTGAGTCGCTAGAGGATCCAGTGTCCTTCGCATCCGTAACCGTCGTCATAGTTCCAGTTGGCGTGGCCGACGGTGATTTCTCCTCAGATGTGGACTTGGAACTAGTAGGTGTGGTCATAACCGATGGAGCTGGAGTGCTTTCCGCTATTGTGGGTATAGCTACTCCGCTTCGCGTGACCTTGCGCAGCTCTTTGGGAGTTGCCAACTTCGTGGTCGGGTAGCTTTTCGGTCTCATTAATCGACTCTCTCGAGTAGCAGCCTCCGCAGACCCAGATTCATTGGGCACGACCGAGGGTAGTTTGCTGGGCAGTTTGCTGGGCAGGATTGAGGAAGTCTGCTCAGCCAGGTCTGCGGGAGACTTCATACTCAGTCCTAAATCTTTCATGGGGTACGATTTGGGCCTCTTCAGCTTGGTTTCCCTGGAAGCAGAGCTCGCCAAATCAGAATTATCCGCATTTGTGGCTTCATCCTCCTTTTTGGTGACCTTCTTGACCTTTCGCACCAAAGTCGTTGTTGTCGACGTAGTCGCAGTTGCCATTCTGGTCAATTCTAGTTCACCGACTGTGGTCTCCTTGGGTTTTACCTTTTTGGCTTTTTTGATGGTAGAAGTCTCCACCGTTTTTTCAGTCTCCTTGCCTTGGTCACTTTGAGTTCTCGCAGCGGAAAGGATTTGCAGCTCTTGCAGTATCTTGTCCGCCAGTTCTTGCTTATCCAGGTCGGTTTCCGGTTCCCGAGATTTTGATGCACTTCGTAAGCGGAGACTAGAAGTCTTTAAAGGATCTTGGGCTGATTGCGGTTGCAGATCTGGAAATAGTTCCATGCTTTTATTACGCGAGTGACGTATGGATGATGGATTGGAGCCCGGTTCTAAAGGTGGCTCTGCTTGCTCTACATTTGGTAAGCTGTGCTTTCGCCGCCTCATATCCTGAGACTGTGGCCTCTGTTCATGGCGGTCGGTGGACTTCTCCCGTATTTCCCTCTGGATACTCTGGGTTTCCCGATCTCTGGGATCATCGAAGAAGTCGGGTCGCAGGAAGCGCGAGATTCTGCGCTGCGAGGACCGTCCGATTTTGAGGGAGCTGGTGCCTTCCGAGGCAGGAACTTGTGGAAGTTGAGGTGGAGGTGAAAGACATCCACTCGGAGGACGCCCGATGCCGGCACTGTAGCCCTTCTCCGGAGCATCTTTTGGAGCAAGCGATGGACTTACGTTGCTCGACTTGCTCAAGTAGGGGGAGTAGTATTTGTACTTGTCGCTGATTTCACTGGTGTAGGTGCTACTGCTGCACAGTGAGGATTTTCCATAGTCCTCCCTGCAGACACTGCTGCTCCTGGATTTAGTGCTCTGTGTGGATCTGATCTCCGCTTCCTGTGCCGAGGCTTGCGCGGGCGCCTGGCTGCGGCTAAGGCTTCTCCGGTAAATGGCTGTGCTCGCTAAAGTGGTTTTAGGTGCATCGGTTTTCGGCTTGAAATCCAACAATTCGTCCTGCTGTTGCTGATGATCTGGAATGTAGCCCCTGCCCCCGCTCTGACTGCGCTTGTAGGTCTTGGGCGTGGCAGAACTGGTGGGTGCGCCGGTCTGAACGCTCAGAGTGCGTGATAGCTTCCGGGCCTGGGTGGGCGGTAGCTTAGCCAGAAGCTGCTCCTGGAAGCACTTGGGCAGTCCCGGAGTTATGCTAGACAAGGTCGCCAAGTCCTTCTTGCTAAGCTTCAGCCGCGACAGATCGAGATCGGCCAAGTCCACAGCCTCCTCACCGTTTGCAGAATTCGTTGTACACTCGGTAGATCCCCTTTCCACATGAGCAGAAGCAGTGCTGGGCTTCCCTTTGGATCCCTGGTGACCTGTGGGAAGATGTTAGAATGCCACATTTACGGTACATTTTCATCGGAAAGTGGAAGAAAATCTCTAGATAGGGTAGGTATGAAGCCACTTACTTGTCCGGTACACTGATGACCGATCTTCTTTGTTTACTTACATGACTGATCGATGCCCCAGTTCCGCCGCCCCAAAGAGATCTGAAACTTTGTTTTCTCGTTTTGGCAACCAAAAGAATCACTTTCCAAAGCAGAAGAGGGTTTCAACCCGAACGAACACTTAACAAACTTGCAGGAAGGATTAAGGACAACGGAGTCCAACAAAAGTTAACGTAATCAAAACAAAATTAAATAGTATTAACTCACGTGCAGGGTACGGGCAGTAACAAATGCAGGTCGAATACGGGTTTCATATTTTATTTCACTTGGTGTACTACTTAGTTTATATAAAAAATTACGATTAATAGTTTAATTATCAGTTATGGGGTTTAGGAATTCAGTTTTCTCGTTTTTAGTATTAGGCTTTAAGTAAAATATTGCTTATGCTTGAAGCTGCTCGACTGGGAATGGACAATGGAGTTGAGTAGGATGACTGGATGCTGTCGTCTAGCTTCTAGCCGCAGCGTTTAAAATTACTTTATAATTAAAATCACAAATCATACAATTATCCATTGTACACAAGAATGCTTTGTAGTGACAAATTTAATCGATGAATTAAAATGCATAAAACAATGTCTTTGCTTGATCGGTATCTAAAAAAACGGTTCCCCTACTTTTTAAAAATCTTCAGCCTAAGATTATTTTAGTTTCAAAATCACAATAATTCAATGGTGTGCACTTCGCCGTAACAAAAATTAAGAAGATTAAGATTAAATTAACAAAATATAAAATTCAATTTCAAGAAATTTCTGTCTCTTCATATTTCCATGTTCTTCAGCGAAATCCAGCTGCTGTCCCTGTGACTGGGTTTTTTGAGCGCTTCTGGCAGCGGGAAATGTCGTTTTGGGCAAACAATAAACAATTATGAAAATCGAATTTTGAAATCAAAATAAAAAGTAGATTTGGCCAAGACTAGAGCAGCACCACCTGCACCACGACTCGCACCCGGTTTTATGGCTTCCTGGGGCTTCCTGCAATCGGGGTTGCTCTACCGACGACACTGCTAGACGAGGGCATGGGCGTGGATATGGATGAGCTGGCGGTCTTTATGGCCGCGACGGATCTTATGGCTGCTTGTCGTGGCTGTTTAGCGCCTCCGCCATTGAGGTTGCCGGAGTTGGTCTTGGAGCAGCAGGAGGCGAACATGGCTGGATGCGGTTTGATGGCGGTTGTACTAAACGTACTTTGGTTAATGGTTATAACATGCTTTGTGGGCGTGGTGGTAGTAGTTAAAGTAGTTAAACCTTCTGTAAACGAAAGTAAGTACCAAAAATGTGTAAACGGCCAATAATAAGATTTAAAAAAAAAAGTATATGTAAAATATCTAATGAAAGAATGAAATTGTATGACAAGGCGGTGGAGGAAAACAGGTTTCTAATATTGTATGAAAGACTGTGGGTTCGGTGGCTTTTCCTACTAAATAAGAACTACAACTATTATTACTCCTATCGTTATGCGAAATAAATTGCAATAAATACTGGTTAAAACCAAATTAGAATGTGCGTTTTTCATACAATCTAGATTTTACCCTCTGTGTACATACATGGACTATACGGTTGCTGCGGTTGATTGTGGTGAGATCATGGCTTTCGGGGTTAGGATACTACGAAATGATGATGAACGTAAACAGTTCGATTAGTAGCTGAGAATTTCAGTTCTGTACAATATCGTATTCAAAGTTTTGGACATTTTTCTTCAACAATTGTGGCAGTGTGTGTGCTCCACCAACTCTGTTTTGCATCCACTTGTAAGTATTATTACAATTGAGATTCTGTTAGATATAATCCAAAAAAGCCCAGAACTCGGAAATTTGTTCTTGTTTTTGTTTTTGTTTCTTTTAATTTACAATTTTAGTGCCAAGTTAGTGGTTTCTATTATTTTTGTTTAGCTTTCTTGCGGTTTTTAATAGCGTAAACAGAGACAAAGGGTGAACTACATTGATAAGCTAAGAGTGTGTTGATTGGTTGGTGCGCATGTATTTGTATTTGGTTTGCATTTGTGTGTGCGTGTGAGCTTAGTGGCTTTGTTAAACAAATTATTTTCTTGTATAACACAAAGGTTCGGGGTTTAATTTTGTTTTTAAAATCGTAAATAATAAAACATCAAATAAGAAGAACTGGAAAACTCAACTTTAAACTTGTTTTGTTTTTTATTTTTGGGTTATTTTTGTTTCGTTTCTTGTGTGGAATATATATTTAAGATAATTTGTATTCGAACGATTAGGTAAAAACTAAAACAAATTTAAGGTAGCGGGGCCATTTGCATAAAACTGTACAACAATAAAAATCATTAAAGAAAATAGTTCGAACATGTTCTTTTGGTTGCGAAAACAAAATCTCAGAGTGGTTACCACAATAATAATAATATAAACAATTTTTCATTTGAATTGTTTCTGTTTTATTGTCATCATCTCACTGCAAAATGTAGTAAATTAACTTTGTTGTGTTGGTTTTCATTCGCTTTTAGTTTATTTAATATAAGTACAATTTCCTTTATATCATAAACAATTTCTCGTGTTTCGAGTAACATTTAGGTCAGATTTGTCATACATAAATATATATTTAACCATATATGTTTATTCTCATTCTTGAGCGTAAATATGTGTAAGTCGGCGCTGGCATATACAGAACTTTGAATACGATTTCGTGGCACTTATCGACTTTTACTGACTGGACAAATCTCTTGGCCTTCTTTTCGTATCTTTATTTTCTAACTTTATTTTCATCATCATTATCATAGCATGAGAGCTCAAAGGAGGAGAAAAGGCAAAGCATAACGGGGTAAATAATAACTTATAGGGCGGGTACTTGGCAGGCTTTCAGATATGAGCAATTAAAATAGGTTCCTAGACTCTTAAGCGTCGTCAGTATTAGGGGTTAATAACAAAAGAGTTGTGCTCTAGGACAGATAAGGTATTTAAATAGTAGTTAGGGATAAATAGTTCACTGAATAGTGTCAACTATTTAGTGAATATAGTAGATAGAAGATAGAGATTTATTAAGAACTTGCGCGAACACAAAACAGAAAATCAAGTAATAAAATCAAGTACGTAGCTTTCAACGAAGAAATAATATTTTTTGATAATGATTAGGTATTAATTGGCATTATCACTCGATAATTATAGTAGACACTTAATGATTATATGCTATTATTGTTCTGGGTTCTGGGGATAATTCATGGGTTTAGAGTAAGTCGAGTATTAATCAACTTGATCCGTGTTGTTTTTACTTTTTTTTTTGTTTTAACAGACATCAAACTACTTGAACTTAAATAGGTTTAGAGGTTTACGAACGAGTACGTGTGGACATTGGCATATTCTTATTTGCAAGGCGCTGATCTAGTTCTACTCTGGTTTTTGTCTCTTCGTGGTCGAGGCTCTGGATCCACTCCGGATCTGGATCTGGGTATGTCCAGACCGCATTTTACTCACTACTGATCTAGGTATTTACTCTTTATTCTGTGATATTCACCTCTTGGCAGCGTGGCCCCTGTGCGCGAAAACATCGATTCCATGTCGCTGCCCAAGTCCCGGGACATGCTGTGCCGCCAGGGTGCGCCCAGTCCGCTGCTGTTGCTGCTGCTGTTCACGCGACTGTGGAGGACATCGGATAAAGAGAGGAGATGAGTAAATTGCGAACACGACAACGGAACTACGTACGATCGCCGAGGGACTTGCACATTACATGGGCATGCAACTTACAGGCAGCACCCGGAATTCTGCGCGGATAGATAGACGTGGCCCAACCATCGACGCAGTCGATTCGTAATGTCCAAGTCCCTCAACCAGCGTTCCCCGCGCCTGAAAACAGGCCAGGATTAGGCATCATTGGGTAGCAGGAGTGCGAGGGGGCTCAGTCGTACGAAAAATCGGTTGCCTAGATACTTACACTTTCTTTTTCTCAACCGTCTCGCTAAACGAATAACTAACTTGAGATCTTTGAACACTGCGAGTGATTAGCGAAGCGTTAGTTTTGATTTTAAGATGCAGGCAAGTGGACAAGTGGCAGCATGTAAAAAATGGACATTAAATTTTGCAGTTTATGTTCGGGTGTGGCTCAAGCACAGTGGTCGTGGTTAACCAAAGAAGACATAAAAAAATAAAAGCTTGCGCGTAATCCGTCCCGAGTTTAATCAAATTATTATGGCATAAGCTGACAGCGGGAAGGATGGCAATCAACTCTCTATCGTAGCTTCACTTCACTTTACTTGCATTTACTCTTCACGAGTATCCTGAAATACCCTCGCGGCGGACGAAATCACTCACCTGGCGAAGGGACCACCTTGGCTCCAGAACGGACTGTGACTCTGGGCCTGCCGCGAAATATCCGTGAGCAGGCGACTAGAATGGCTGGGGAATCCTACAGGCAGGTCACTGTTGACGTTCAGGCGATTCGTCAGAGCCCGCACCTTAGGATCATAAACGGAGCATAAGTTTCGTGAGCGATGGGGCCACATTAAAAGGGACAGAAGACGGAGGGATGACGCTTACCCGCTGCAGAAGCGTCGAGAACAGATTTTCCGCCGTGAGTATCTCAAAGCCATCGTCGTCATCGTCGTCCTCCTCATTGGAGCTCTGCGAATCGTTTTCCTGACTAATTTTCTTAACAGGCCTTGAGCTCCTGCGGGTGAGCCAAATAGAAAGATGGGGGGAAAAAAATGGAGAGGATATATTAAAAAAAGGATGTATATAAGTAACCGAATCAAACGAGCGTCAAGGAGAATCGGACGCAGATGACAGGAAATGTGTGCGAACCAGATTCAATTCAGCAATCCAGTTACTTATTATTAAGTGCACTGGGGAAAAGGCATCAACTAGAGCCAGTCCACTCATATATTCGCGGTTGCCATACAAAATAAGGGATTTTATGTTAAAAACATATTTAAAATTATTTGGAAGTTCTAGGATATAACTATTAGATTTGAACCGGGAAATTTGGTGCTAAAATGAAGTATATTCTGGTCGGTGATGCTTTTTTTTTTAGTATTTGATATAGTAAAGCACTTACCTGAGTCGGTGCGGGGTGAAGCGGGTCTCCTCTTCGACGCCTCCGCTTCCGCCATCCCGGGTTATCGAAGTGGTGCGCATCTTCTGGAATGGCGAGCCCTCGTCAAAGCCGGCCTCGCTTAGGAGTGAGCTGCATATTAAATCGAATTGAGTCCGGCAAATTGACGAATGAAAGGAGGCACCACCCACGCCCACCATCACAGCGATTGTGGAGTAAGGAGTAAGGAGTAGACCTAGAGGTAAACTTACCTGATGCGACGCGACGGACGCAGGCGGCTAAAGGTGGACCGACTGCTGGTGGTCTGACTCGATTCCGAGGGCTCAACGCTACGCTCCCGCGGCGTGATGAAGCCACCGCCCTCGACAGCAATCGGTATGATGAACTCCCTCGGACTTTTCTTGATGGGCTGCGAGGTGCCCTGGCTGGTGACTGTGGCCTGCGACAAGTTTGTAACCGTGGTAGTAGCATCCGACTCGGATTCCACCGTCGACTGGCGTGACAGAGAACCGGAACTGCAAAAATAAAACGTGAAACATGCAAACTGAATAAAGCGCTATATTCGGAGGAGCTGTTTGGAAATGCAGTTTTACAGAATCGCCAGGTCAGGCTTTCACTGTTCAAATAGTTAGCACTGGAAGCTGACTGTATATATACAAATTAATTGAGGTCGACACTGCTACTTACCGCGTAGTTGTGTTAGATCCGGTGCGCCCGTAGGCGTGCTGCGTGGGCGGCCTCTGGATGGTTATGACGTGCTCCTTGGGCTCCAGACTTGTAGCCCTGGCCTGCAGAGTCGTTTTGATGGGGCTGTACGGGATCGGGCCCTCGCGTGGCGGGGCGCTACGCAGGTCAGGAACCGCATGCTGCATTTCTGTGCTGAAGCGCATGGTCGGTTGGGGCATCGCTGGTTGCTCTGGAATCCTCGGTTTAATGTCCAGCTGCATCTCAGCCTTGGCGTTGATCTTGCGGCGCGGCAAAGTGGCTGATTTTAGAGTAATCGAGGCCGTCGATGTCTTTACCGCTGCCGGAGGAGTGGGCGGTCCCTCCGTACCTCCTGGCGAGGCTGTGGTGGATTAAAGAGTTCTGTGATTAGTTTGGGCTAAAATAGACTGGACCTGGTGTAGTTTACGGTGCCAGAGGAACATGTAAGCAATTAAAGCATCAGTAACAGTGAGCAAAACACAACTACGCATTAAGACTTGTGGAGAGTGCAGTCAAAGGGCAAAAAAACGGTGGTTAGAGTCACCCAACTGTTTAGGGAGTTAAGCTCAGGCAGTGATACCAAGACTAAAACAACGAGCACGAACAACTGCAGCAACAGCAGCAACAGCAGCAGCAACAACACATACCATCACGAACAGAAAGAAAACAAAAAACGTATTAAAAAAAAAACACAGATTTGGAATAGGTGTTTGGGTGTGATCAGAACAGGAATGCGAGGACTACCAAGCCAGGATATTAAGACACTGATTTGGCGATGCCGCCGGCCTTTTCAGTGTCCAATTTCAGTGAAAAAATCGAATAATCGAGAATAGCAACTGGGAACGGAAACGGATTGGGTGGGTTGCTTTTCTTTTTAGTTTTTTTTTTCGGGCACATATAACATAAAGCACATGTTTTTTGGGGTTCCGGATATAGATAGGATTTTTGGATTTTTTCGAGCCGCCGCCAAGACTTACATTTGAGCCACATGACCCCAGGGAAGGCACATGTAGCACTGGCATTGGTATTGAGTGTGTCTTGAGCTTGATTATGATTGAATGGTCTCGTGCGCGAATTGACATTGTAATTGGCATTGGGCATCGGGTTGAATCTGCTGTTGTTGTTGTTTCTGCTGCTGTTGGTGTTGGTGTTGCTGCTGGCGACGCACTGCGGCGACGGGGGCGGCGTGAATAAAGCACTTGTCCTCTGATCCTGATCCTGGTTCTGACACCGCTGCTGATACTGCTCTTGCAGCGTTTTGAACGATGTTCCCTGCCCAGTCTGTTCCGGCTGGAATATACTGGCCGTGCTGTAGGAAGCCTGCGGCTGCCAGGTGTATGGCCTCCGATTCACGGGTCCCACCTGGTTGCAGCCGCCTCCAAAGATTCGCTGTTGTATCGTTTGTTTAGCCGCAGCCAGAGCGTGGGGCGAGATCAGTACAGGCGGTGCCGTCTGAGGTGCCAAGATAGGCGGGGATGTGACCACCGCTTCTGCTCTTGCTTCCGCTCCCATGAAGCCCATGAAACTGCTGCCGCTCAGGGCGTGCTTGGCTGTCCCGCCCACAATTCCGCCGCCCCCAATGTCATTGCCATTGCCAAAGCCGTTGCCGATGCCATGAAACGGTGTTGGCCGGCGTATCACTAAAATTAAGATGATGAGTCTATGAATATGATGAGTATGTCTGCGGGAGGGGATGGGTTGGGCAATGGATTGAAAAAGAATCAGAGCCGACGGAATCCTTACACAGTTCTTAGTGCTATTATATTTAAAAACACCCATGATTAGGCTGAAACTTTATAACTTTCTAGCCAGTTTAGAGTCGAAAAATTATATTGATTTGATCCTTAACTAATGTGATCGTTAACTTCATCAAATATTAACCGCAAGTATTGATTTACAGTCATCGGTCTGTCATTGTTAAAAGAGCTAAGGACTACAAACATATTTTTCTAAAGTCACTTGAAGAAGTTGAATTATATTACTTTTAAGCTTTTCTTATATTCAATGAGTAGAAGGAAAATTCAATTTAAGTTTATTATTTCCACAAATCTTATATTTTACTTCGCGTTCTCTGTCTTTTTTGGTCAATCCCAAGCGGTTCATCCTAAGATGTGGTAAGGCCGAGAGACGAACACAGGTGAATTCAATGTCGATGATATGGTGAGTGACTTGTTTCGCCGTTTTGTGGACTACGGGGACAAGCAAAATTGCAAATTGGAAGAGGGATTCGCTTCAGTTTGATGGTTCTGCTGATGGAGTTCGGTGAGTGTGAGCAGGAGATTATATTTTTAAAAGCCAAATATAATCCATGCAGCACTCGGCTTGCAAAACGTTCACATACACATTAAAAATGGAAAGTAGTTTTATATATGCCAAAGTAAGGATAGAAACAAGACGATGCCACCCAGCCGGTTGCGGTCAGCACAAGTCGAACCTCTGTCGAGGAGAGAGATTACAGATATTGCTCTAAAGATTTATTGATTGTTTCTCAGGCGACAATATTATTTTAAGATATACATATATTTTCAAACTTGATATGCAGATTTCTATAAAATTTAAAAATTAAGTAACATCCCCATTTAAAGACCTTTTGAAGACCTGATGGCAAAAAGCAAATGATTGCCAAAAGCTGTCTATAATTAGATTTGCCATCAACATTTTAATTATTTTGAAGATATATACATATGTAAATACATTGGAAATAATAAAAAAAAAGACTTACATACCAATTTATTAAAAACAAAAACTAACAGAAAAAGTGAAATTAATAGTGTATCAGTTTAGTTTGAATCGATTGCCGATTCAATCGAATGATCTAATTGTAATCTGCAGAGTTATATAATCAGCGGCTTACCGAGTCCTTTCTTGTTTTTTCTTGGAAACATTTCGGAATCTCCAAACGGAACATCCATTCGACTTGTGTGCCGACCTTTAACCGGATACCCGAATACCCGAATACTTATGGTAATAATAGTAATAATGTAGTGCTAGTAGTCAAACTTGAAAGCGCTGCGTGGTTTAGCTTAGCTTAGGTACGGATATCATAGTAGTGGCTATCGAAGCTATGTATTGTAGCTATAGAAATAGGCATGTTCAGATCACTCACCCGGTTGGATTGCATTTCCGATGATAGCGCGCGCGTTTTTCAACTTACGCTCCCGATCCTCCACCGTCGCGGGATCGTTCACTCCGATGGTCTCAGTCTGGGCACACAGCTGATCGACCTCCTTGCTGGATTCGTTTTGGGCTTGCAGCAGCAGTGCAATGGAGTTCTCCATGGAGCGACGCGCCTCGTCCAGCGAAATGGATGACACCGAATTCTTAGAGTCACTTGCCTCAAGGGACTGGCTGGTGGCAGCCACTGGCGATGCGGGTGGTGTTCCCAAGACCTCGGCTTCCTGCGCAGCAGCAGCAGCGGCTGCCACCTGCTCTTTAGCTCTCAGTTCACCAGGAGTGGGGCTATCCGTGACCGGAGGATTAATGGCCTTTCGCTCGAACTCCTTCTTAAAGCTGCCTACACTGACACCAGGTATGCTGAGTTTCTTGGGCTTCTCTGCAATCTGGGTCAGTGGCGGCGGGGGCTGGAACTTCTCTGCAGTCTCTAGGATGCGGGATTTCCGGCGCTCGGCGTTGAAATTGTTCAGCGTGGATTCATCCTGCAGACTGCACTTCCGCACGAAGGGAGGAGGCGGTGCAGCTCCAGCTGATGGCTTTCCGGCCTTGGAGGCGCACTCATTAATGGCATTGACCAGATCGGCCGTCTTGTGCTTGTTTACAAACTTCTTTATCACTTTAGTGGGGTCTTTCTCCTCGGGAATCTCCGCCACAGCATCTAGCTTTCCTTTGGTGGCCTGGCGGGCAACAGCTGATAGACTTGGTGGTACCGCCGCCGATGGGATATTGGTGTTAGCGACGCCGTCGCCAATCAGTTGCTCGCATAAATCGCCGACCATTTTCATGTCTTTCTGGGAGTAGCTGGGAGCTGTGCTCGCTTCCTCCGGAACATGGGCCATCGGATCCGCCTCCATTAGCGTGTCCTCAGGTGTGACGATGGCCTTTGGTACCTCAGTTACTGGAGCTGCTCCCGGTGGAGCCGCTCTGATCACAAAAGAGCTGTTTGCCGGTTTCTCCTTCTTCTTGGCCGTGGTCCCTGCCGCATTCTCCATGGACACAGTGGGTTGCAGTTTTCTCTTCGTTTGCACAGGACTCTGGGCAGGAGTAATGGTTCTTGTAGGCGAGGGCATCAAGGCTGCTTCTCCTCCGGCTGAAAAAATCACGAAACGAAGACAGAGACAGAGAGAGAAAGGGTGGCGTGGTTTAATGAGTTTGGTTAAATGACTTTAGTTCCAAAGGGGTCAAGGACACTTGCGAGTGAGGGGCGTTGGTTAGTTGGTTCGGGATTGGTCGGGATCGGGGTCGGTGGGTGTTGGTGTTGGTGTTTGGGCGGCCAGTTAGTCTCAATTTATATACACAATGGGCTGGGGCGGTTTGCTGGACTATTTCCTGTCGTAAGGATTACATATCCAGACAAAGCGACCCATCCTACAAACTACTCAAGAATTTTAACTGGGCTGCTGCACGGGAACCTCCACCTCATACTCTAGGGACCACTCAAGCGATTCGAGAAGCTACAAGCAGGCCGACGAGGGGGTCAACTCACCGGCAACCATGTCCAGTATACGGCGCTCCGCCTCTGTGTTCGGCGGTCCCATGTCCCGGATCGAGCCAACCGAGTGCGAGCGTGGGACCCGCTCGTTGGCTGCAGCCTTCGCAGCAGCTGCTTCTGCTGACGGCACCACCAACTGGTCCGCCGTGATGGCTGACGGCGTGAGGGAGAGCAATACGTCCAGGCGAACAGGCGTCTGGTTGGCCAGGTCCTCGGCTAGGTCCAGGCAGGAGACGTTATCATTCTCATTCACCCACCAATGAGAGCAGATCTGCTCGATGGTGGCTCGCTTTTTGGGACAGACCGTCAGCATGTCGCGGATCAGGGTGGAGGCGCGCGAGGGTTTCCGCGGCTCATAGTAGTCGCCCTGACTGATTTGCTTCACCAGCCGCTTAAAGTTTGAGCCGTCGAAGGGCATGGAGCCGTAGACCAGCGTATAGAGCAGTACGCCCAAAGACCAGCAGTCCACCTCTGGTCCCTGGTACGGGGTACCCTCCACGATCTCCGGCGAGGCGTACAGCGGTGAGCCGCAGAAGGTGCCAAGCAGGCGCTGGTCATCAAACACATTCGAGAGACCAAAGTCGGCAATCTAAGATAGGACAACGAATTAATTTCAGCAAGAACTATTTTTAAAATTAAACATCGTTATGCGTACCTTAGCATTACCCTTCTCGTCTAGTAGTATGTTCTCCAGCTTGAGATCGCGGTGGCAGATTTTGTGCTTGTGACAGTAGTAGACAGCGGTGGCCACTTGTCGGAAAATGCGACGAGCCTCCTCCTCGCCGAGAACCTTCCGCTCGGACAGGTAGTCGTAAAGCTCGCCGCCTGCGGCAAACTCCATGACAAGCACCATTTTCTCGCGATTCTCAAACACTACAATGATCCTGTCACACTCTGCATAATATAAAAAGAAAATACTACTCACCTTCGTAGATGTGGATGATGTTTGGGTGATGAACAGAACTCATGATTTGCACTTCACGCCGTATGCGCACCAAGTCCGCCTCGGCTTCGATTTTGCACTTTTTTATGGTTTTAATGGCCACCTCCTGGCCAGTCTCTTTATTAATACCTAACTGCACTTTGCCGTAGGTGCCTTGTCCCAGCTTTTTAATAATATCAAACCTGAAAGTAATTGGAAAATATATATATTACCAATAAGTAAATATTGCTCTAAGTTTAGTACAAATAGTAAAAAGGAACACCCACCTTTGACGCAGCTTTTTGCGGTGATTGTTCATCTTGACGTTTCCCGTGTTGTGGATGCTGCTCATAATGTTATCTATTTGATCCTGCGGTATCCCCGATGGATGCGCCAGACTGTTACCGGTTCCGTCGAGTCCCCCAGGAGTAGCAGATTCTGCCGTGGCTCCTGCGCCCGTTCCTCCCGCCGCACCATTGGGCGTCGTATCGGGTTTGCTTATCACCATTGCTGAGGATGTGATTTAAAATGCTGAATGTGTGGCTGGGTCTGTTGTCGAGGCAGCTCCACTTACAGCTGATTCAAATTACTGAAAGAGGTGAAGACGAAAATAAGGTTTCAGTAAGCCAACTAAGCCAAGCACTTGAACAGTAGTCATCTATCAATCGCTCAATCTAATGGGCAATCAATTATATCGAGATAAAGCTTTTGGCAGCCTGGCTGAGCTTTGTCCTTTAAAGCGGGTCGGGGCAGAGCCAACCGAAATTGAAACTCCAGTCAGTTTTAAATTATGTCCAAGTCAGGAAAAAGCCAGGATATCTTAAGATATTTTGCGGCCTGAAGAAGCTGGATGACCCATATTTACCGTGCAGTATCATGAAGTTCTTGTTTCTTTTAAATATATGGTTTCAGCAGTAGTTTATAAATACTAATATTAAAAAAATATACACATTTTTCACAGCTTGTTATTGATAGGGTACCAAAAGCTGTCAACGGCGACCGAAATATTTCTGATGACAACTGGACTGTAACACTAAAAAAAATTTTGACGTACTTTATCCGGACAGTAGTTACATAAAAAAAGTTCTACAGAAATATATTCACATAAACAAGAATCGAGCCATTCTGCTTAAATTAATAGAACAAAACAAAAGGAAATATATAAAAGTTGCCCTAATTATAGAAAATTGACCAGTACAACAATTCGCCTTAAATATTTAGAACTTAACGAAGCAAATGAACAGAAAACGTCATACATTTAAAAAAAAAAAAGTTAAAATTAATACCTACAAATTTGCATTTATGGTTGCTTGATTTGTTTATATGGGCATCTGCTTAAGGAAACCATATTAAAATCAGCATAAGGGCAACGAACATTTTTCAAAGGGCGCCGAACTCGGTGCGGTGCTTTTAGTTTCGCATCTGCAAGATACAATAACATTGCGCGGCGACCAGTCTTTGCGAATCCTTTTATATATGTACATATATCGACATAGATATTTCTTTTTTTGGCACTCAGACAGCACATGTCATTGAGCAGCTAGCGAAACAACTAACTATGCTCTAGGGCTGAGTTGAGATTCGAGGAGGTTGGGACGGCAAATGGCACCCGGCAGAGATAAACACCCAGAGACAGCCCCTTCCTTATCCCTTGGCCGAATTTGTTGAAATATCTACGCTTGCTTTTCCGTCAGTTTGGAATTTTTTGCATCGTTGTCGTTAACGCAAAGGGAAAATATTTTCTTATTTTTTCTGTTGGCTCTTTACTTTTATTTGCTCTTGCGGCCCCTGCTACTGATGCCACTTTCGACAGGAATAGCAACAATAAATTCCATCCAGATAGGCAATGTAAATATGCAAATGAGAATGTTTTTCTGGGTCAAGTCAAGTGCGACATTTCGAACAGCTATTTTTGCCAGTCGCAAATATTTCATTTTTCAGATTCTGTTCTCCGTTTCTTCTAGTTTTCAGATTTCCTGCGCATGCAGCTAAGCGGGAAATGCCTCATAAAATCGATAAAAGAATTAAATAATCAGCGGCCATAAACTAATGACGAAAATCGTGCTGAGCGGCAGCGCCATGCGTTGAAAATGTCACAGTTAAATTCCAATGCCTTTGGGGCGGAGGCGGCTATCAATTTTTATACGTAATCAGCATCTTCGAATAATTTAATGTACTAATATATTGCGTAAATTTTTGTTCTCTACTGTTGCATTTTCCCCCGAGAACTACTTGCTACTTGGTGTTGTTTTGTTCGCTTTAGCATCATTTAGCCATTCGTCGCCTTTTGTTTGACATTTGAGTTGTGACATTGTTTCCATTGCCATGTTGTTTTTGCGCCCCCATCTACGCCTGCGTCACCGGCTCCTCCCCGGTCTCCGTCTAGGTCCCCTATTAAATTATGGATTATCCCAGAATTACTAAGACAATAGCTTTCCAAAAAAAACAGATCTCTCAAATTTACCACATCTAAGTTAACCTAAGTTAAATTAAGGCAACCTTGCGTATACGTAACTTTTCCCGGAAGCAAAGTACTGGCTTCCTCTTTTGTGCCGGTTTTAAAAACGGACGCACTCACCAAGCTAATAATGGTGCGAATGAGAGAAGCAAATAATTTAATAAAGAAAAGAAAGAAAATCCTGATAGATGCCGAATTAATTGTATGACCCATGCAATGCTAATGCATCTTTGTAATTTTTTAAAACAGCTCGCTTCCATCTTAAGGAGAAGGGAAAATCTGTAATATTTTGAGGGTTATTCTTGTCGGCATTAATGCATCAGCGAGAGCCTCCACCAGAAGCTGAAATTCTTTGAGAGCATCGACAGGCGGAGACGTCGTCTCTGCCGCGTATTTAAAGTCTTGAATCTCCTGGTAAATGAGAAAACAAAATTAAAAGAAATTTTTAAAAATAACTTTTAGCTAGCACGCAAGAGGAAATTTTATTTGAGCAAAAGACAAGCCAGAGAAGAAGCAGCATAGCATAGGAAAAATGTAAAAGCAGGCAAGAGAGACAGCTATCTAGGAAACTAGAAAACATACCCCGAAACTAAATGGCATAGATGGGATGATGGGATGGGACGAGGAAGTGGTCTGCAGAAACCAAAACCGAAAGCCAAATTCAAATCCAAATCTGAAACATTCGTATGTATCTGAAAGACCGCAACAGCAGCAGCGTTTTCCTCTACTTAAGATTCTTCTGGCTAAGACTCGGCGTTTTCTTTCTTTTCTCTCATATTTGTTTCTTTGAGAGATAATGCTGTATGGATACACACTGAGTCCGAGTGGCTCTGGCTTATTATTTGTTCACATTTATGGCCGTTTTTTCTTATTGCAAATTTTCATGACCAGAACGCACACGTCAACTACCGCACACACACACACACATACGCACAGACGAAAAATCAACATTTCACATTTCTTTTCAACTTTTTACTTTTCGTCCCCTCTGTAGATCCGTATCTATATATTTTTATACCGTGGGCTATCTCTGCACATATAGATATGTATCTATAGGTTTTTGGGTATAAGTGTGTATATATGAATATACACAAATAATTCGCGCACTGGTCTTCTGACGCCTTGCTCGCGTTGCTCCATGCGCTCGACTGAAACAGCGCTGAAAAATTTTCCTCGATTTTCCCCAAGAAAATATAGAAATCAGCTGAATATTGCTCCTCGCCAATGCTCTTCGGGGCCCATTGTTATCCTAAAAATAAATGCACTATTCTCTCCCCAAAAATGTTCGAGCGTGAGACCTCTACCTCCCTCATTCTCTTTCGTTTTCTCTATCTCTGTCTTGGTTTCGGTCTATGCGTCGGGCGGTCTCTATCTTGATCTCAAACTCTCTAAAATCTTCCTCGGATTCTCCCGATTTCTAACGAGGTGCGTGCCATGAACTGATCGCAGTCACGATCACTGCACACCAGATATCGGGGTGTCTATAATGCGGTGTTTATGTGTGCTTTTACGTGTACATACACATATGTATGTCCTATGTGAACAGTTGCAAGAGGGCTGCGAAATTGGCAAATGAGCCCATTATTTATTTATTTCATCATTTCCCGTTCTTTTGGGTACACAAATTATATGACGGTCACATTTGCAAAGGTCGTGGAACAAGTCCAGATCACAAGCAGGCATTTTAATAAAAAAAAATAGTTATTACACAAAAATAAAATACGAATGCAACATACTTCCCTAAAGCAATATTTATCGTATATGTAACTATAGTTACATATATGTACATATGTACGCAGATAAGTTTAACATTTATCCACACACCTCTGGCGGGTTGTAAAATTCTTTTGGCCCTAATACGTAGGTCAGAGAAAGTAAAAATTGATTATCCACCTAATTCGAAATTTAGGTCATAACTAGAAATATGGTATATCTATGTATGTAGATATAGTTGTGTACACTTCAGCACTACAATACTTTAAAAGTATACTTTTTTTATGGCGTACCTTTAGTTTACCGCTCAAAATATTTCAAAGCTTATCAGAGCTGGCCAAACAACGGGCAGGAATGCTATAGACTTCAGTGGCTATGGAGAATGCAATGGAAATGGCGACGATGACGATAACGAATGTTGCTAGTGGGAGAAGGGAATGGCAACAGTAGAAGTGCACTATATAACTCTTTAAATGCCTGTTCAAACATTCAAAATAATATTATGCCAAGTCTTAGTAGAAGGCAGGAAAAATATCTGCCCGGCTAAAAGCAGGCGACCAATTTCGAGTTCCCGCCGAGGAAACGTCCAAGAAATGGAGCGTGCTGCCGAGCCGGTTGAAGTAATGTAATTGTAAGGATACGGTCTACGGAGTACATCTATACATAAAGTATTCTTCTGGAGGCAATAGCCGAGCGGTCAAGTCAAGCCTTAATAGCATAAAAGGAGCTTATATAATTTTCGCACGCCGCTTCTACTCGTACAAGATAGACACTGTGATATATACTTTTTCAGAGTCCGAAAAATGTTTCTTCCTAATTATTGTGCTTTGGGGCAATTTTAATGTGTTCAAGTGCCTGATCTCCGCGACCTGAAGATGGACATGTTACAAAATGAATTTTAAAGAACACCAATACAAATAGTTTTGACAACATAAAAACCCCTGAAACCAAGTATATTTTTTTCTCGCTGTGCTGGTAAATACTTTATGTGTGTCGCCGGGGCTTACGTGTGCGCGTGTGCCATAAAATAATCGACCTAGTTAAGACCTCGCCGCCTCGTTTTCTTTTCGCCTTATGCCTGGCACTTGGCGCATGCAACAGCAAAAAGTCACTCAAAATAGAGAGAGAAGTGAGAAAAGGGAAAGTGGAAACCTGCATGCCAAAAACGTCGTCAACTAAAACAAAAGCAACGTGAAATCAAAGTGTGGGAGGGTCGATGCCGGGACGGGAGAGTGTGGGAGGGTGGCAGTGGTACAAGTGCGTGCCGGCTTTTCGGGGACTGCCTTAAAAATAAACGCGACATTGCTGGAATTTGGTGTGTACGCCAACTCCAACCGGAAATGCCATTTTTGCTGGCTGCTCAACTTTTTGTTGGTTCAATAAAGCCTGACGGGGGAGTGGGAGCTGAGAAAAGAGGA